GGGAAAGGGAAAGGGAAAGGGAAAGGGAAAGGGAAAGGGAAAGGGAAAGGGAAAGGGAAAGGGAAAGGGAAAGGGAAAGGGAAAGGGAAAGGGAAGTTCTCCCTCAAACATGTGTTGTACCATGTCCAGCACAGTGATTGCAGTTGGTTGATTGGAACACCAATCACTCATCAATTAACAAACCTCTTCTCCCTCCTCCCCAAGCCAGATTCCATCCACCTTTAAAAATTCCTGACAACATGATGGTCCATTTAGAAACACCCTGGCTTGTTTATTACACATGACATGCCAGGTGAAGTGTCTGTTTTAATTGTCAGTCCTGTGCTTTGCGTGTTTCACTTGCTGTTTTTTCCAAATATAACCTATTTTTGAAATGCAGGATGTTGTGGGGCCTTGAAAAAAAGGTGTTACCCAGCAAAAAAACCTCATTAAACTGTCAACTGCTGTGTTTCGCATTTCCTTCCCCAGCTTTTCTAATTACCAAGGTATTTGGTTATAAAAATCTGAGCTAGTGAACTGAGCTAGGAATTGATAAGAAAAAATAAATAATGCTGAATGACTGCATTCAACTTAAACCCAAACTATGTTGGAGAAAAAAACCCCAAACATTTGTTTAGATGTTCACTTGTGTTTAGCTTGGCCGTAATTGATTCCAGTGTCCTTTGGACTGGCCAGCAAATGGAAGGAGTGAAAGAATCTTTATTCTGAGGTTTCTGCTCTGTAACCTTCAAAGGTTAAGCTCAAAAGCAGAAAGCTGCATTTTTTAACAGATTTGCAGAATACAGCTCTGTCCACTCTGAAAAGAACTTGCCTATGTAGCATCTCCTGCTACTGCTCTGTCTCCTGACAACTCTTCAAGCTCACTTTGCTCTGCCTTCCTTCCTGTTAAATACCCTTGGTAGGACACACAGCTATTTAAGGTCTGAGTTTTAACTGTGAACTACATCCTAAGAGAAGATGAAAGATACCATTGGCATCATGGAAATGAGAAAAGTGAGGCTTGTGGGTTCATTCTAGGACATGCACAAAGTCTGCTCCCAGGGTCTCTTGGTCCCCTCACACCGTGCTGCTATTTTCATGCTCTTATTTTTCAGGAATGGCAGCTCTTCTGAGCCATCAGAGGGATGTGACATCAGGGTATGTTGGGAGGACCAAAAACCTCACAACTTTCATTTGTCACATCCTTATRACAGTAAATACAAGCCCCAGCTCCAGTGAATGCTCCGGGTGGGCCCTCATGAGCTTTAGGGACGTGCATGGGATCCCCCAGGGTTATGAGTGTGTTTGCTCACAGACAGAGCCCTACCTGCCTCCTCCTCCTCGCCTGCAGCTGCAGTTTCCACCAGGTCCCTCTCTCTGTGTTCTGGGCTGACCTGTGCWGCTTCATTCCTGCAGTTTTTGAGGTCTGTGGCAGGTGCTTTCCTGTGTCTGGTCCACCACGTGAGGCTGTCGAGCTGCAAAGGGGAACAGAGAGAAACAGCTCAGTCCTGTCAGCCCCAAAGTGGCCACCCAGTCATCTCCCTCCTTGGGGGCACAGGTCCCAGATGATGCTGAATCCTGTTTGGGACAATTTTCCACTTTTCCTCCTCTCCTTCCTTTCCACTTCCTTCTCCTTACCTTGGGTAAGAAGGTTGACACCATCCAGATGGAGCTGAAAAACTTGGGAATAGTGTGAAATAATCTTGTTTCTTTCCTTCCATTTATTTAAAACAACCCATTCCATCCCTATCTCTGTGAGATTTGAGGAGACATTGGAGAAGCATTATCCTGTTTTCCAGGCTCACAATTGACCTGTGATAATGATGGTCTGCATCCAGAATGGCAGCCCTCCAAGAGGGAAGGGTAATAAAGTCAAATAAATAAAAATAAATCAAAAAAGAAGCCAAGATGCCCTCTCTGGTTACAGTCAGGCACAGACAGCTGTGGCACCCTCAGGAGATTTTTTTTTTTTTAAATTCCATATTTCTCTGATGGGCCAAGAGAAGGCATTGCCTCTCTCTGCAGTCTTTCAGTGAAATCCACAAAGGACGATCTGTCTCCTTTACAAATGCCCAARTTCTGAAACTCTTACCCCAGAGCAAGCCTGAAAATCCACCCCTGGAATGCAGAGAGTGCACGGGAGACATCAAGACATCAATTTTACAAACCTCAGTGGCCTCTGGCAGCCTGGGGGGGTCACACACCCCAGGCACTCGGGAATTTGGGGTTAATCCAGACCTTGGCGTGCCCAGGATCTCRATGGCTCTTCCCAAACCTGGCCCAAACCTTGCCCAGGCTCATCCATCCCTCCCAAAAGCAGCTGCCCTCCCTTGCAGCCCACACTGCCCAGCACAGGGAACAACAGGGCAGGCAAAGTCACACGTSAGCCCCAGGAGCAGCTGCCTCCCTGCTCTGCCCACATGGAAATGAAAATCTCCAGCGGGTCACACTTACAAAATAACGTGAGTTTAATTTTCAATTTTGCACACACAGATCCAGGCAGAAGCTTCCGGCTGACACAAAATGTTGCATAATTTCCAGAAGATTTATAGCTTTATTTAAATCATTTTCAACCAAGATGAGCATTGGGCAGGGCTAATCTTTCTTGTCATGAAGTGCTAAATTGCTTTGATTTGATGATCCTCATCTTTCTCAGGGATTCTTTTTTTTTTTTTTAATCACTTAGGAAATGTCACTGGAACAYAGTAAAGTTTCAGGGTACTAAAGGATTTCCAAAACTTTTTTTCCTTTTCTCTCCCCTCCTCGTGTGTCACTGAATCACAGTCTCTTTGCAGCAAAATGTGCAAGGGCTGGGGTGTAGCTGGGGCTGTGGAAATGCCAATCCATCAGTCTGGGTGAGCCCTCRGTGCTTTGTGTGCTGCTCCCCTCCCTTTTCACCCTCACAGTCTCCTTGGGCAAGGCAGTTTGCAAGAACTCAGCAAAGTTTTCCTTTTGTTGTTTGTAAACTAGAATAAATCCTTCTGTTCCAAAATGCCATCTGGCACCTGACAGTTGTGTTTCAGCTTCGCAGTCTCAAATTTAATTGTAAGCTCTTTTGCGGGGTTTTCAAGGACGGCRTGACACAATATGGACTACCTACAATGAAGACATATGAACTCGGGAGCATACCAAACAAATTCCTTGCATACTTGTTTTCCAGCACAGCATCAATCACCACAGGGATGGGAGAGTGTCCAAAACAGCAGGAGAAAATGCTACAGCTTGCACTTCTCAGATTGTAATTCATTTAAAGCCAGGAACATTAGCTGTACCACTCGAACATCAGATACAAATCTCTCTTCTCCTTTTGCCCATTTACTATCTCAAAAGAATTGAGATTCAATATTTAAAGTTGTCCAGAGTAGATCCTCAGCTGGTGTAAAGCGACATAACTGTGCTCAGCAGCTGTTCCTGCTCTTTGAAGGCAGTGGGGCTGTGCTGATTTACATCTGCTGGGGTATGATCTATCGCTGTATTTCCTCGGCTTTGTCTTTGCCAGCTTGTTTTTCTACTCCTTTTGTTTGACAAAACAAATGACACAATTCCTAGCTCTTGTACCGTGTCTTCCATCATTCCATCTCCAAGCACTGCAGCTAAGGAMGAGCACAACCAGCCCYGTGTGAGTYTTAGGGGGGAWATATCCGAGGCTCAGGAAGGGAATKGATTCACCAGGAAGCACCAGAGCTTCAGAGATCCTCATGGATCCTCATGGACTCTGTCATGGGTCACACAGGCTCCTCACCACAGATTTGCCCACCTGCATGACAAGAAAATGGCCAAATACAAAGGCCAGGTGCCAATTTCTACCCACCCTGATTTCCACTCCTGCCCTTCCTTTCCCAAAGCCACCTCAGCACAGTCCCAGACTGGCTGGAGATGAGACAAACCATAAGAAACCACATCACCAGGAGTGATGGTCCAAACCTGCACCTCTGCTCATGTCCAGGGCCAATCTGGGGTGAGTCTGGCCCAGGAAAATGAAAAATGCTGCTCTCAGTGCTGCCCACTCCGATTCGTGCCAGAAGGGCAGAACCCCAGCACTGTTGTCTCCTCCCTCAGTTAAACCCCACACCTTCCTTTGGCTGTTCTCTGAGGAACAAGGGAAGACTTTTCCTGTTGAAATTGGGGATAAATAGTAGAAACTGAATGGAATCACTAAAAGACTAAAAGAGATGGGGACAGACTCTCCCATTCCTACTGAGCTGTGGGAAAATTTGCCTGGCAGTCCATCCCATTTTCCTTGGGAAGATCCTGAGGGGCGGGGGCACATGGGATGGTCATCACAAATATCAGGTGATTGATCTGGGTCTCTGTGTCCAGCCTTTCACTGCCACAGGCTGCATCATTAATTCTCATTCATTTTCTACAAMAGAATCTCATATACAGGGGTCAGGCACTGAGCTCAGCACTCTGTGGGGTCCATGGCATACCAAAAGGTTACCCTGAACATCCCTATTGAGAAAATTTCCCCAAAAAAWGTCCAGCTGACATTAGTTCCTGGCTAGTGCTGTCCTTTAGGAGGGGCAGCCMCACCTCTGGTCCTTTGATCCTTTGGGATCACTGCACACAGCTGCTTCAGACAAAATCCTGCTCTCCCTGACCATACCACTGTCTCTTTGAAGAATATGTCAAATATGACCATTTACATCCAGCACCTATAAAGCCACACATTTCAGTAGAAATAGCACTGAAAATCTCCTCTGGGGACTCTCCTATGATCATAACCTCTCTCTCCCTAATTCTATTACAGCAGGCTCCATCCTGAACTCCCCCTCTTAGAAGATTTAAATGTTTTTGTACCTCTGAGGTCAAACTAGAAAGCCTTGAGGTGCTGGGGCAAGTTTCTCCATCTCCTGAACTGCTGGTTTGATGCTCACTGCTCACCAGCRCTGCCTTAATGCATCTTATCTYGCTGTTGCTGTGGGCAGGGAGCAGYGCACATGTTTAGCTATCACAGGTCAGATGATGAGTGGGAACTCATTAAACCACAGTAATTAATTGCTGGCAACCATCTGGCCACCCCTGAGCAGCCGTGAACAACGTAAGCAGCAGAACTAATGGTGCCTCCTTGCCAGTATTTCTCTCTCCCATGTGGATCCTCTGATAGCTAATAAAAGCTGAGAGTTTATCTCCAAGCAGACACAAAGACAGCCTCTCTCCCCCCTCCTCTCCCCTATCTGAGCACCTGCTTTCATGTAATCTTTAGGAGCAGAGTGTCTCTGACACCTATAACATTCCATCAAACATTGATGGAGCTGGTTAATGCTTTACAAGTTATGAGGAAGCAACAGATTGATGCCATCATAGCATTTTCTCTCTCATGCAGCTAGACAGGAAAAAATAGGTCTTTTTAATCTATCCAGTAACCTTTGCTGAGAGGAGGTGGCAGTTTTGTTATATTGGCAGCTGCTTTAAAACTTGGGACTGGGAAGAGTTGCTTTAAGGTTTTATAATATAAAACCTCCCAACTCTGCACCATTTTAAYGTGCTAAGTAAAAGAAAGTTGTGCTTCCCTCAAAGTTATTAAATTTAATTGAGATCACATTGGGACAAAATGTTATTTTCCTAAATGCCCATGTTGCAAAAGATATTAATCTTGTTTGCCTGCAAGATTGATGCTGGCTCTGCTGAGACAGGCTAGATGCTACAATTAGATATATTTAATTCCTCCTCAGCAGTGCTCTGTAATGTGATTTCATCTCCTTCCCCTTCTTCTTTCCTTTCTATTCCAGTTCTGATGGGCTGTGGTGTCTGCCCAGCTCTGGGCACAGCATGGGAACTCACACTCAATTGGAAGCACTCAGTGCTCACAGCATTAACACTCTGTGACCTGGGGAATAGAGCTGAGGAGCAAGGGCTGCTCACAGCACAGGCATTAAACACCATTTCTCTGCCACTGGAGGASCAGAAAAGGGCAGATCGCAGAGATTTTTGGTACCCAAAGGGGAGCTCTGGGAAAAGGTGTCACTGCAAGCCACTCACCTTTTCTTCAGGGATTGGGGGGGTGCAGAGGCTGATGAGGACGATGACAATGGCAGTGAGGGCACAGAGGATGAGGGCAAAGTAGAGRTAGTGCAAATCCTTTAGCACAGCGGGTCTGCTGTCCTGCTCCCCGCACGACGGGGCGCTGTAAACGAACTCCATGATCATCCGAACCACACCAACRGCAAGGCCAGCCATCAGACCCCAGAAAGCACCCTGAGAAAGGCAAGCACAAAGAAAAGGTCACTGCAAATTACCTCTGCTTGGAGTTTTCCCTCTCCTCTCTCTCTCCTCTCCTTCTTCTTTCCCAAGACTTTTTATGCCTGATGGAAATCCACACTGATGAGCAACAAAGCGGAATTTTTTCAGCTATAAATCCTCATCTTCTCTCTCTGCCCTTGAGCATGGAGGGGATAGAGCATAAGCAATGCAAGAATCTCCTCCTAAMAACGCTCCTTCAACTTTGACACATCATCCCTAAATTGCAGAACAACTTCCCTTTYRTGCTTTCRAATGGGATTGCCAGGAAATAYCACTCGCAGTGAATTCTTAGAAGCRAACCCACACCCACTAGAAACTGGGCTAAGATCCACCAATGCATGGCAGGGAAAGGCTGAATAATTGTCATGCTTTAGCTGGACTGGCTCCAAGTTTAAAGAGTCTCAAAGGCTAACCACTGAGAGGAGAGATATTTATTTATTTTATCAAATTAAACATGGATACCAATCGGTTGTTGACATTTCACTCACAGGCTCAGTAATCCTCTTGCAGAAGATTGCCAGGATGAAGAGGGCTGTGATTGGTGGGGCCAGATAGCTGGTTACGGACTGGATGTAGTCAAAGAGCTTTCCACTGTTGGATGATTGAATGATTGGGATCCAGAGAATACTGATGACCACGAGGATGAGGATGAAGACTCTGAAAGAGGAGGATAAAATTGTGTTAATTCTATAGGTKGTGGAGTCCACCTGGAAATGAAGATTTGCAGTAAAACACACTCCCAGTTGCTCTCAGAACTTCCTAAGAAAAAGTCCACAGCTCACTCTGAAGAACCTTTCCTTGTGTACCCACGAAAAGAGAAATTTGCTCTCCCACCGTGAGCTTGGTGTGTCCTAGAGTGTGACATGGTCTGCAGCGACCTTGCTCCTGGATGAGACAGAAAGAAGGAGCTGGGAGCTTGTGGAAGAAATTTCTCTGCCACCTTTCCAAGCAGTCAAGGTGCTCAGTCTGCTGCCTTTGCCAAATCTCCAACCTGGTTTGCTAATTATGAAAATTGTGTTTGGGGTCTCAGGTGGATATTGTAGCCTCCCCTCACTTTTGCATTCTGTGTCACAGAGGTTTATCCCTACTGCTGAACAAGATCAGCAACTCTGAAGTATGAGCTTTCCTGCAGCCTTTAGCCACCCCTCAGCAAAGTTTAGAACTTAATGCTCATGACTGGAGTGCAAAAAAACCATAAACAGACWGAATGCAGCTTAAATCCCCCTCTCTGGAGGAGAACTTTATATGAAAATGATACAATAAAGCACCAAAGGACACTACAACTTATCACAGAGAGCTGGGAGGCTCTGCTCTGCACTTTTCCCTGAAAAAAAAAAAAAAAGAAAAAAAGAAAAAAAAAAGTAACTGCAACATATCGCTCCTGTCTGATGCAAAAATAACATGTTTTTAAAGACCTCTGGTGGCAATGCCTCCAGAGCACTTTTGGCTTTCCTAAAAGTTATATTTAAAGCAGTATTTATAATTAGTTTAGCGAAAAGAGAGGCAATTATCTGCTTAGCTCAGTGGAACACTCAGAGTTTCTCTTTGACCAGATCTACCCAAGAAGAAGCTGGAAAACGCAATGCTTTTCCCCAAGCTGTGCTCCTGCTCTAAATTACAGGCACCAGATTTTTCCCAGYGAGTCCAGCCTGGAGGATGTAAATGCTGCACTCAAACAGATGATGAGAGGAACGAGACATAAATAAATGTAAGGACCTGCCCACGATCATCAGCTCCTGCTCTGAGGCCTGCCTGCGGACCCGCTGCCAGATGTCGATAACGAAGAGGGTGCTGCTGCTGTTGAAAATGGAGGTGAGGGAACTCATCAGGGCTGCCATCATCACTGCAATCATCAAACCMCGGAGCCCTGCAGGAGCAAAACACAGAAGGAGAATCAGGGCTGGACCTTGAGCCTCTGAGCAGTGTTTTTTTCCATCCTGCTGTCTGGTATCTGCAGTGAGATTTCCACATCCTCAGGATGGGTAAGGGGAGCCTGGCTCAAACCCATCTCCACGAGTGTGTTTCTCACCATCAGGCATGAGTTCAACCACCAGTTTGGGGTAGGCAATGTTGGAACAACCCACAGCAGCTCCACAGACCCTTTTGCAGATCTCTGGGTCCACGCAGCCCACTTCATCTGCAGAACACAGAAATAAAGAAATCAGTGAGAATCTCACTGAGCCGTAACTTCTTTAAATCAAGGGAACAAATCCTGATGCCTTGTGCAGTTTTGTATAAACTCAGAGGCTGGAATACAGCTACAATGAGTGGAGCTGAATAATATTTACATCATGTAACAGAGGGGAAACTTTGAGATGACATTTTGAAATTCTGTTCAGGGTACAGCTAAAACTCTCCTGGATGTTGCATAACTGTAATCCTTGATGATTTGTCGCTTTTGGGAACTGGACTGTTTCCATGAACCTGTCAGCTGGGTTCCCAGGGATTCTGGAGGCTGACTTACTCCTATTTAGGAAATCTGGGAGATAGGCTCTTTCCTCTCTGGGAGTGATYCTTCTTACCAAGGTATTCTTCCTGGGAAGGGGAAGGCTCTGGGGAAAGSAGCAATGAGAGCTCCTTGGGCTCCAAGGGAGGCTTGTTTGGCTTAATCCACCAGGACCTGAATGAATCTGTGTCGCAGATTGCTAAAACTCTCCAAAATACCTAAAGGGTACAATCTACAGGACCTGAAGCACAACCTCAGTGCTCCATCTATTTAATTTCACTCACTCCAGACAGACAGACAGACAAATGCAATGTCCACAGCATGGAGCTACATCCTCCCAATGGCAAAATGTGCCCCTTATGGCTGTTCCTGGTGACTTCTGCAGCTGTGGGAGAAGTGGAGATGGAGTGAGGGCACAGAAACACCAGGGTGCATCAGGAATCTCTATGAATTGCAGGACAGCAGTTTCTAAGATGTCAGAGGGCTGGCAGATCTGTGGAGGATTGTGGTAAAGGCATGGAGCCCGTGTCAAGGAACAGGGGAAGGCTTACCTGGGTAAAGAGCCCTGCTGATCATTCCTGGCATGACAATGAAAAACATAGGGAAGATTTTCAGGTATCCTCCCAGCACTGATCCACCTTTGGCATGGGAGAGGTTCTTGGCAGAGAGAGACCTCTGGACTATCACCTGCAATCAGTGCAGAAAGGAAGCAGAGAGTAAAACAGAAGCACAACAGAGAGAGAAGGGTCCATCCTCTCTCTGTCTGTCCTTCTCATGGGTGACTTTGATCCTGCAGGATCCCAGAGTGTTTTGCATTCCAAGGGCAGCTTTCCCACCTCGCTGACTGCAGCCTGCTGCCACCACTCAGAGCTCAGTCCACAGCCTGGAAATTTCCTTTACAGGAATAATTTCACCCTTGACTGAAACAAAGCCACCTTGAGGGCTGGAGACAGCAGCTGTATGGCAGCAAGAGACACAGAATGAAGCAGACTGTGGGTGTTTTGGTAAAAGCTCAGTGGTGGGGTTTCATAATTATCCCATCTGAAAGTACAGAAGCACCGTGTCTTGAGAAACACACGCAGCTTCCCTTGTTTGTAGCTTGAAAATGAATAAGGGACATCTGGGAATATGAATGGAGRAATATTGTCTGGAGGTCTACACAAGGTCACAGCAGAGCCAGCTCCAGATTCCTCTTATACATTTTTATATCCTTGTCATGCTAACTTCATGAAGGCTCCCAGTACCCAGCAGCCCACAGTGGGAGAAGGATGGATGAAAATAACCTGTTCTCACTGCACTAAGAAGTTCATAAAATTAGCAGCTAGCTGAGAAGGTGGAAGGAGTGAGACATTCTGGTCTAGACCAGTAAAAAAGGTAGCAACTCCTGCACRCTGAGGCACAGKGATTTCTCAGCTCACAGATCCACARACTGAGGAGTGGACTGAAAATCASAGTGTGGTGGTTTGTCTGCTGAGGGAAAGGCTTTATTTACCTGGTCAGTGCACCAGCACCAAAGAGCCAACACAGAGAGACCRAATATGAGGCCAGGCCAGGGAATGTCTCCCGTGATGGGATCCCTGAACAAATGGAAGGCATCAGCACGTGGGAGGTGACAGGTTGTGTTTGGGACCATGACCTTTGGTATTGCTGTGCTGTATTTCTCCTGAAGTCCTTCATACCAGCCAACTTTTTCAAACCCTGTAAAGAAAATGCCAGTGATTTAAGGGCTGGTGCATCCTGCAAAGTTATTATCTTATCTGAGTATCGTGATTACTTTTCTTTTATCTTCCTCTTATCTCCTTTACTTTTCATTCCACCCTTGCTTTTTGTTGTCAAGGTTTCTACAGAAGTCAGCTGGATCCTGCCCAGAGTCCTTGTGGTTTAAACAACACATTCTGGAAGAAGATCAATGCAGGAAAATCTCCATGATCCTRATCCCTGCAATGTCATCAGCATCTGGTCTTTACTTATACACCCTGCAAGAGCTAGAACAGGAAGGTAAARCATGAAAAAAAATATACGTGGTTTAGATATTTCTGTTTGCCAAGAAAGCTTAATGCAACGATGATGCCTATTTCCTTGTTGCTCTTTATTTTTTTATAATGCTCTTCATAATTTTTATAACATCAGTTACGCCCACATGAATCCACAGTAACTCCAAAAGTCAACAGTGGAAGTCAGCAGGATTACTCTGAATTGACATGAGCTTGATGAGAGCTGAATTTGGCTCTGAGAATGCAATGTTCCAAAGCTCTTTGGCAACTCCAGTGAGGAGAAGTTATGGAGAGCCTCACCTCCACACAGTGCAGAGGATGAAGCAAGTCTGATGGCTTGGAGAATGAAAAGTTGTGCTGGCACCACTTCTGTGAGTGGTTAAAACTCATTTCTGACCACACACGAGAGGCTGAGGCACCCTGCTAAGGTCCTGTGGCCTTGGGAACAATAAAATACTGTGTGAGTCCACTGCAGGTTCCCCTTACCTATGAACATGAGGACCAAAGCTCCCAGCACCATGATGACAGTCTGCAGCGCGTCTGTGTAAATCACAGCAGTCAAACCCCCTGCCAGGAGAAGCAGAGACAGCAGTCAGAGTACCTAGAGTACCTAGAAAAACAGGTACCTCACTGGGAAAAAAAATTCTTAAGCCCCAGCCCTGTGATTTCAGGACAGAGCCACTGGGAGAAGCTGGCACTGAGCCGGTCCCCTGGAGCCCACAGCTGCCACAARCCCTCCCATGGGGAGCAGTTGAAGGAATTTCTATGTTCATGAGAGGATTGGAGGCAGTTCAGCATCTTAAAGTCACTAATTTTGCAGAAAGAGAAAAAAAAAAATAGCAAATATGGGCAGTGGTAGCTCTCTGCACAGAGGGAGTCAAGAGTTTTGTGCAGTGTTAGAAARTCCTCTAAAAACAGTGATGTTCCCCCGTACCAATTTCCCTTAGGCCAGGAGTGGAGAGGGGATGAGTCAAAGGACCTGAATTCCCTCCATAGCAAATGGGAAACTTCTATCCTAGGCTCCAGTTTMTAATGTGTCCTTTAAAATCAGCTATTTACCAGCTATGGTGTAGACAGCAGTCACTGCGAGCAGGACCACAGTGGACAAGTAGAGGTTCCAGCCCAAAGAGATTTGGATGAACAAGGCTCCGGAAAAAATGTCTGTCTGGAATAAAAAAAAAAACAAGGACAGTCTGGCATGAGTAGTGCTTCGTGCAAGTGAAATTTAATAAAGCAGCCTGCAGCCCTCTGCAGCTGAGAGCATTGACAAGGGAGGACAGCACAAAGGTGAAGTGGAAGGGGAGGAGAAGAGCTGTTGGGGCTGTTGGCTCTGAACCTTGTTGTGCCGTAAGGAAAAACTTTCCTCCASGTCAGAGTTTTCAGGGTCTGGGAGAAYRGRAGGGTGGAAATGAAGGTGCTATGCMWAGGRWCTAAAAAGTCATCAAAATAAAGTCCATCTTCGTGTCATAGAATCCTGGCTGGCACAGAGAAGGAAACTGTCACTCCTTTTGCTGACTGAAGACATCCCTGGCTAGCAGAACCCATGTATCCACAGGCAAACACAAGGAAAGAAGGGGAGATAGCACAGAGCAGATTCTTCTTGGTGGCCTCATGGCCCAGAAGGCACTCCCTCTTGACAGACCCCTACAGAGTCACTGATATCTTGTACCCTGATTTATTTATCTGAAAAGGTCAACAGGTTGCTTTTCCGTTTGTGCAGTTCAGCATATTAGAATGACTCAGAAAAACAGGTTATACCTGCTGAGGACCTCACTAGAAATACAGAAACCCCCATCAGCTCTGTTTTGTTTGGACCTTCTGGCAAAGAGAGTGACACCAGAAACTGGGTGAAACCTGGAATGACACAGATAACATCATTCAAAATGGCAGAAGGCGATAAGGGAGATATTTATGTTGGGAAATCAGGTAGGACACCTGCAAACCTGRTATGGGGTGAGACACAGGTGGAGACCATGACCAAGAGAGACAGAAGGGATGGGGCAAGAGTTCTGTTTGCTGTGTCAGAAATGAGCACATTAAAGCAAGGGGACAGTGCAATCCCCAATCTTTGGAGGCCTGAGACAGGACAGGCACAGTCAGAACCCCACAGCAATCACTGCCCCAGAAGGGGTTTGGCTTCCCAGCAGGAAACACGACCACCTCTGTCACCGTGCAGCATCAGTCCCTGCCAATGCTGCTTATTGAGATCTCTGTTTGCTTTGCAAGCCGAGGAGACTCTGCAGTGCCCTGGTTGTTAACCTGTGTTTGGGCAGAAAGCACAGGGAGAAAAATCCTTCTTGTAACCAAGTGCCTGCTGTCCAGCCAGCCGCTAAATGAGCTCTCCACAAACAATAGCTCTGCCTAATAGAAAGCGCCTGTCASGGCCATAAAGTGCCCCAGCCACATCCGTCAGCCACGCGTGGATCGAGGAGAAACCGCTGGCATGGAACAGAGGGTCCTGCTCTGAAAAACACTGGCAAAGCCAGCTCTGCTCAAGGGCACTCTGAAAGACAGCTCCGTTCCACACCTTGGCTGCTGCAGAGGAGAGTGCCTTTCATCCCTCACAGGTAAAGAGGCTTCCAAACCTCACTCACTCTGCCTCCAAGGGCAATGCTCCAGTCCCACAGAGCAAAGCTGGAGGCAGTGGTGACAGCCATGGGTGATGTGACCAAGAGCTGCCCATTAGAGGAGGAAATCTACCCYATGCTCCCAGCCTGGAACTCCTTTYAAYGTCTYTYCCAGGACCTGAGACATAATAAGCCTAGGAGAAGGACCTTGAAGCCACATGAGTGTCTTATCTGCAGTCAGTGTCTCCCGAGGCAATTTGACATCTGAATACTTCAGCAGAGTCTCGTGAAAACTGGTTTGTACTGACCTTAAAATTATCAGCTGGAGACAAAGGACTGACATCTTCAGCCTCTGTAATGGACTCCCAAATACACTCCTCTCCCTCCAAGGGCACACATAGTTATTAGTGAGTATCTATACATGTTTCTTTCTAAATGGCATTTAAAAGGGGAAAATACTCAGTAGGCTACACCGGTTTTYGGTTACCAGCAGGGTTCAATGCTACAAGCAATCCAGAAAAGATGCTGAGTTTTGTCTCAAGGCAGAAGCCACCACCCTTTCATTGCACCCTTTTGTGCAACACAACTGAGAGAAACAGAGAGGAACAGCTACAAAATACCCAATGCTGAAAACTCAGCTACAAGAACAACAGCAGGTTTATGATCATGTAAGAGAATTTCRTGTCAACAAGATGCAGAATTTTCAGATGGGGTAATGCTGCCCTTTCTCTGTCTCTGTTGCCTAAGGTTTGATGTGATAGAAGAGGAAAAGCAGGCAGACAGCCCGTGGTACTTACACTGTTTAGTAATTAGCTGCACATCCCTGCAAAGTTCTCACTGCGTGCTGATGTTTAATGAGGGCTCTGTCTCTCTCTTAGGAAAGGTCTCCATGATCAATACAGAGGCAGGGGCAGCACACTAACACACTGCTGCTGTTCCTGGGAGCTGAGCTGGTCCTCTCAAGGACATCTGAGCTCTCTCTGAGCAGCCCTGCMTTGTCCCAGCCTGCCCCATCCCTGCCCTGGACACAAGGACTGTGCTGGGTTGGATACGTACGGATATCTTGGTGAACATATAGAGAATCAGGGACAGCACCGACATGTAGATTTGTATCCTCTGCCCTCCAAACCTCTTCTGCAGGTACTCAGGCATGGTGACTACTCCTGCTGCGATGTAAACAGGCACAAARATCCAGCCAAGAGCCAGCAGTGCCCAGGTGGCCTGTTGAAGAGACACAGAATAAAGATACAGGGTTCAACACATGGCAACAGCTCTTTCTCCTGTTCTGTCAGTGGACATCCTAAGAAAGCCTTGAAATGTGTTTGAGCAGCAGACTGATTTTTTTCTTACTGCTCAGCAGATGAGACAGCAGCTGAAGGAATTATTACAATTCAATTAGAAGCTTCTGAATTTCTCCTAAGCCCTGTGTTCCTCTCCCATCTCCTGGTCTTTTGGGCAAGATCTTGTATTCTGTTGCTCTGGTTCTTTGAAGGATGGTGGYGTATTTGGTGGCCTTTGAAACCACTGAAGCTGTGGCAGTGAAGAGTTAAGGCATTCAGAGCAGGATGGGAGCATCTGTTTGTTGCTTGATTAGCAAGCGATGAGGCTGAGGCAGCAGACTGTCCCTGCGGAGCATAAAAATAAGCAACAGCAAGACTCTGCTGGGATGTTCTCCTTGCAGGCTGGAGCAGATGTGCTTCTGTCACTGGCAGATAAAGAGGCACTTTAGCTGCTTTGCCACAGGTGAAGAGTCTTTTGGAAAGTGTAAAGGCATCTCCCATCAGGTATTTCTTCTCCAGTTCCCAAACAGAAGACCTTGCAGGTAAATAAAAGCCATTGGATTATCAAACCTCACCTCCTGGTTGTCTYGGGCCATTATCTTTCATCCTTACATTTATTTTGATCAGTTATTCAAGTTTTTAGAGAAGGAACTGATCCCTGTGAGCAGAGATTGTGACTGATTGAGTGGCTGCTGCAGTGGCAGGGACTGGCTGAGGTGAAAGGTGCTCATATGTTCCCTCCAGATGAGTGATGTCCCACGGCAAAGGGGGACAGTAATGGCACAGCTAAGCTCCCTTTCCAATGTGAAATAAATTAATCTGAACTCATGAAGTTGGATTTGCCCTGAAATACAATCTTGTCATGAGCTCCTAAAGTGACTTGAATAGATTTCCTAAAAGYACAGCAATATTGTGTCCTACATGCACCAGTCTGAACACAGTCTCTGTTTTCTTCACAAAGGATTCAAAGGTGACCTTAACAGTCTAGAAAAAAACAGTGCAGTGAATGCATACCCCAGGAGAGAGCTTTTGGTGGGTCCTGCCTGTGCTGGGCAAGAACCCAGCACCATCAGCACTCTCTGCTGAGGAAGGCAAGGGATTCAGAGTTAGGTGAGTGATGTTTCTTGTGAGGCTGGCACTAATCTCACTGCTCATCAGCTGAGAAATTTCATTAGCATCACACACCAAGGGCCTGGTTTTCATGCTCTGTGTGGTGTCAGTGGCAATTTTCCAGGACACTTCAACAGGGCAGAATGAGTCCAGCCTTCACAGCCAGATGTTCACCCCAGAGATGCCACATTTTGGCAGCTGCCAGGTGAAAAGAGTGTTGCTGATTCTCATGGATTTACACTGAATTTAGGAGCACAGGCTGCTTTCTGGTTTAACTCCCTGTACCCAGAATTCTGTGATTATCCAAGCACTTTTCCAGCATTAATTATCTTTTATTTTAATCTTCATGAGTGCAGACTAAATCTTAAAAAAAAAACCAGCCACATACTTCTGGGAAGGTCAAAGAACTAATAATTCTAGTGAATTCCACTTAAAATAAAATAAAGATCTCATGTTTCCRAGGCTGTCAGAATGTCTGGAGGCTTCTCTCCTGAGAGTTGAGCACTTGTTGCTGCTGATACTGTAAAACACCTGATTTTGGAGGCAAACCCCCAGTTCCTGTGTAAACAGTGACATCTTAGTTAAAAACAGAACTGGCTCTTACATTCCACTCAAAGCCCCCAACAGCAAGGCCCCCAGCTGCTCCAGTGCCTGCCAGGCCGATGAATAAACCACTGCCCACGTTGCTGGACATCAGGGATGCTCCAATCTGAAACACARGGCACAGGGACAAAACTGAGAAAGTCACCTTGAAGAACTTCTGTATACTTCTGTAAACCCTAACCCAAGCGTTTTCCCCAGGAATTCTCTTTCCCCAGGATCTCATCTSCTTGTAGTTAGGTACCTGGGTGCTACAGAGAGTTGAGTTTTCCTTCAGCTCTCAACAAAACGACATTTTTATATCTTAATGCATTTTCGTGCTCCCTTCCACTGCCCCTACTTCAATGCAAAGCTTAATCTCAGAAGGTCTTTGTGTTTGATGTCTCAGGTAGGTTCAAAGCCACAGAGCTGGAAAATGCTCATGGCTCAGGTGAACTTTAGCTGCAGGCTGTGGGCAGGGAGGGCTGTCCCGGCCATGCCTCATTGACACCCTACTGGGAAAAATGCCAGCTCCAAGGCTCTTTAAACAGGGCAAAGGCTATCTGACTTAATTGCTACTTTTATGGCACAAAGCCTCACCTCCTTTCTGCATGCCAACACCAAACCTCTCTCAGGGTCAAATGCAAAGTTACCCAAAGGACAAGTCAAGCCCTTTCACCCTACAGTTTGCTTTTAGGCACATCACCCATGAGGAGCTTTTTCTTCCCTTAGTACTGCCACACATGGAACAAGGAATGATGGAAGCTGATCTGCTTCTCACTTTTGAGCAAGGTAAAGCATTAATTTGACATTAACACCCACATTGACTGCCAACAGCTCTGCCTGCTGAGGAAACTCCTGATTAAAGAAACTGCTCAAGAAATGTGAGCAGTTCTTCTGAGATGTAGATCAGACACAGAAATACAGAGGATGCATTGCAGAGGAGCAGCAATTTCATATCAGAGCTAAGTTGAGGCTGTGTAATGCACAGCTGAAACCTGTCACTCCCATTAAAATAATAATAAAATACAGGTAAGCCAGTCATGTACTCAAGGTGAAGGGCACAAGGAGCTGAGCCTGCAGGAGAGCTGCAGAGGTGGAATCAGCTCTSACAAACAAATCTGGGAAGGGAACARCTTTAGAGGTTGCCCTGAACCTGAAATTGTYCAGAAGAGCCAAGAGCTGAGCTGTATCCAATAGTCTCTGCAGCCACCTGTGGCTGGAGCCAAAAGCAATGAGAATGTCCTGGCATTTGTTTGGCGGCTTTTTTAATAGAAAAAAATCCCAGAAATCTTGTTTAAAAGAACAAGATTGAGGAAAAATATTTAACTTTAGTATGTTTTAACTTTCCCCATCCTAATYAGAGAAAACCATCAAGCCAAGCTTTTCCATTAAATGTCACTTGGCTGAGGCAGAAGTATAAAGAACATTTAAGTAATGACAGATTTTAGAGAGGTGTATGTGTCTCTGRTGGAACAGGCTGAAAATCTAGCCTAGTGAATTTATGGGCAATGCACAGCCAAAGGAAGAAAAGTAAAAAACTGTGTTTTGGTTGAGAAGTGCATTCCGTTACCCACGACTCACTGGAGAGATATACGGTTCTAGAGTCTGGCATTGGCTGAGAAGAATCTTTATTCCTGAGGTGTTTTTATTCCTTTCAAACTTTAAATTATCTTTATATGTACCTTTCACTCCCAAGAAAAGGTGCCTTCAATAGATTATTTTTTCCTTCATAGTGAAGATTTATACTTCAGTGGTTTGAAGTTTATATTCTTTACATCGTTAGTCAATAAACTCAACTCTACTCTAAATAGCAAAAACTCAGAAACTCCTGGGCTTTGGGATTATTTTTTTTCAGTGTGTAAATGCTTTTTACAGGGTAACACATTCCTAGATTACCTAATGCTCTCATTACTTGGGTACATCAGTAGTGAGTTGAGGCCAAAAAATTYCAAACCCTGCTCCTTAGCCAGCATTCCCTAATTGTTATCAATGGGAGCATTTTTATTGCTGATTTTAGCAGAGAAACTGAGAGTTGGAGAACCCTGAAGATGCTGAGCTGCCCTTTTGTCCATTGGCAAAGATGTACGGGATGATTCCTTTTGGATCCTTCATCTGTCCCATCCACCCCAATTCTACAGGAAAACATACAAGGACTGCGTCCCCTCACCAGACCTGCCCTTAGAGCTGGAATTGCTTCAGACCATGAGAAACACAGGGAAACATTTCACTCACAGGCCACCAAGTCATGGATCGTCCAGCCAGAAAATATCCTCCAATGGTCCCCCGGCTCGCTCGGAYYGATGACTGGAAGMACCAGAAAAARAACAGGAAAAGAAYAGGAAAAGAACAGGAAAAGGTGTTTTCCTCCATTCACCCACGCTGGAGTCTGACCAAGCCAGGAGAATCCTTAATGCCTGCTCCAAAATATCTTTATGGATCTGTTAAGTATTCCAGGCTTCACCCACTGCCTCTGCCTCTCTTTGTGCGGGTTTCTGATCACTGTGCTTTGGAAAGAAGCTGCTTGTACCTGTTTAATGACTTCTCTGTGAATGTCCCAACTGGGAAAGGAAAAGCAGTTCAGCCAAGCAGAGCACAGTAGGTGCCTGTGACAGAGGCCTTCAACAAGCAACRTGAACAAATAATTACCARCAAYCTTTCCAAARWTTYTAAGGTCCCATTTCAGTYTTCTCCAGCACAGCCCTGGCTTTTCTTTCGCCTTCTGCCTGTCCACACCCAGATGTGTCAGCAGCACGGGAGTTAGGCACCATTCTCAGAACCACTTCCAGGGAATGACCCCACAGTTATCCCCATRTGGGGTGGGAATGAGAGCTCACAGAAGGATCCCTGTCACTCCCAAATTTGCCCAACARGCCCCGGGATAAATCTGTGCAGAGGATGCCATTTGCAGACAAACCCCTTTGTACCCAGCATGGCTCCAGGGAGCATCAAAGCCTCTCTGGCTCAGGCAAACCCAAACCCAGCCYCCTCAAGGACTCACCCAAATCCCCACAGCGAGGACAAAGGCAAAGTACAGGACCACGACGATGACATCTGCCACTGCAAAGGCTGCTGCCGTGTCCCCTGGCAGCCCAGGCAGCTCCACAGTGGTGCCTGTGGTCGGCTGGCTCATGGCTGGGAGCAAACTGCTGATGTTCTCACTCACRCTGGACTTTGGTGCACATTGGCCTTCATTGTCTCCCTTGTAATAATTAACAGGGTGAAGAAGGTGTGAGTGGGGAGCAGAAGCCAGGCAGGATGGTGGCTAACGTTTCCCAGCAGGAGTTTGGTCCATGGCTCGTCAGAGAGGGCTCCCACAGAGCTCTGAGGGGTGAGGATTCCTCACAGACCCCTTTGTGTCCATTTCCAGTACTCCTCTCTCCTGCCCAGTCACCACTGGTGACACCCTCTGGGATGTGGGAGATGGTTCTGCTCTGAGGACTGGGATCTGCCTGGAGGTTTGTGCCCCACAGCCA